AACCATGGTACTCAGTCTTTCCGAGGATAACGCTAATCAGCTTGTAAAGCCGCTCAGGCTGTCCACGTGAGCAAAATCCACGTCGCATGATTGGCTATTTCTAGATCTTCCTGGTATTTCCGAAACCGGAACCGGAACCGGAAGTGATTTCAAAAAAGCTTGAGAAGGATTCCTTGGGAATATTAAAAACCTATATGGGGGAATAAACTCTCTTAATCTTTCACCTCCCATCTACTGTATTTCATTTGCGTGCGTGTTTTTCCACGAAGTGTGAGCTCAAAAAGACCCTAAAGAAAAGCTGAAAAGAAAACACATCCCCAAATAACCACATTTTCGTACTCATCTGTATAACTGAAAATATACCACTTGCAGTATTGCAACCTGTAATAGACATTTTGAAAAGTTTTGTTAATCCGATCTGGATGTTTTTGTGTGTGTTTTAAATTTCCGGAGGCTTCTGTAGACCGAAAAGTTAACAAAACAACAGTACGATAAAGAACCTTTTACACTGTATCTCTACGAAGAACACAAAAACTTTTTAAAGACTCATCTGTATGTTTGTCTTATTTTTTACATATTAGATCGACGAGGCACTCATTGCGTGCGAGCGATTTACTATAGATCATTTGCGAACACAGAACTGCATTGAGTTTCTTAAATTAGCCCAAACCCTTGAGCTTGAGCAGCTGAGGCACAAGGCGATGGAATATATAGAGTGGAACTTCCTGCAAGTCGTCAAAGAGGATGATTTTGTCGAGCTCTCAGCTTTTCAGATAACTTCTCTGCTCGGTAGCAATAATCTGAAGGTGAAGAGGGAGGATAGAGTGTATGAAGCAGTATGGAGGTGGTACAAGCATGATCCAGAAAATAGGTGAGATCTACTATGGTGTAATGCAGCTTGTGCGGATATAAAGCAGTAGTACAAAAAAGCGCAGCTCTATAGCTTTCATTTGAATGGTCACACATTAGGGTTTCATCCACAGACTTAAAAGTTAGAACCACCTTGTAAAGCATAAAAAACAGTACCACATGAAAGAACTACTCAATAGCTTTCATTTGAGTGGTCACACACTAGGGTTTCATCCACAGACTTAAAATTTAGAACCACCTTGTACAGCATAATAAACAGTATCATATGTAAGTACTGCTCAATAGCTTTCATATTAATGGTCACAAGCAAGGGTTTTATCTACAGACACAAAACTCGGGATTAGATTCTCCCAGAAGCCACGCTACAAAAAAAGTCATTATTTATCCCTGCATACACTGAGATTCCACATTTCGCCAAATCTGAAACACTGATGTTGGTCTTAAAACTAACCTTTAGGGATCAAGACCTGGACGTGGTTTTAAAAAAAATTCGATTCCGTCAAATCAGCACAAAATTTCTCAAGACGCGAGTACTTCCTGAACTTGTTGAAGGTGAAGGAAGATGCCGCTTGGATGTGGAACAAGTTCTCACATCAAGACGACTGTCGCAAGAAAATAACGATCCAGGAACACCGCGGAACTCACGCAAGATTATCTACTTGCTCAGCATGAAGACAACCCGGGTTGACACGTTTGACGAGGAACAGCGCGCATGTGTGCCTTGCCCTGATCTTGCGTCATGGGATGTTGGCAGAGATGATAACTACCGCTGTGCAGTTATTGTGCAGGACGAGTTGTATGTTGTATCCAAAAAAGCGGTGAACCGGTTTAATCCGGTTACAAGAAAATGGACGTGGGTCGGTGAAGGTATGTTGTCAGTGTAAACTGAATAATGTTTACTAGAGACCATATCCCTCAACAACGTTTTCTCTAGCTTGATTAAAATTATTGCGCCATTATTGATCACTTTACCACTTTTAGAGCGGTTTTCAATTGAGTATCGCAAAACCAAAACCAAAGTAACCACTGTAGCCAATCTCAAAGGACACAAACAAGACAATGAACCAATCAACATTCGAAATAATTACATGTAGCTAACGCAAAGCGCGGGAAAACCTGTGCGAGCGAGTCGCGATTGGCTTTGGTTTTGCTTCTGATTGGATGAAAAAGTGGCGCGAGTTTTCCAAGCCAAAGGCGTAGCGTAATGACGCAAAACCAATTACTTTGCGACACTCCAATGAAAACCGCTCTGAGGTGCATTCTGAGTTAGTATAAATCTCAGAAGAAATAATAATGATAAAATATAAACCATAGCATGACAGTATATTTGTCATTTCAGGCCGTTCTGTACGTGAAGCTGGGGTTTGTTCTTATAAACACAACATTTATGTACTTGGTGGCAAACCTGATGCTATGGCTGCGCACAAGTTTGATGTGTGCCTCGGAATATGGAATTCCTTGCCGGAGATGATCAGGCCTCGACGATGTACCGGTAACATTGATTCATTTTCTGCCTCTATCTTTGCTTTAAAAACTTTTGAGGCCTTGTTTTATTTTTAAATGAAGTTTTTAGGCTGAAGTGTAAGTTTGTAGTCTAACCAACGGAACTCGCAAACCCACTCATATGCATATACATATTCACTTATTCCCCTTAAATTGTCCGGCCCCTCAGGTTTTTTTTAGCTTTTTCGTTCATTTATACTTTCGTTTGTTTGCCCGTTGGTTCGTTATTTCGTTCTACAGTTTGTTCGTTCGTTCGTTCGTTCGTTCTCTTGGTCGGTCGGTCGGTTGGTCGGCCGATCTGTCGTTCATTTGTTCGTTTACACGTTCGCGTGTGTGTTTGTAGTTTTGTTCGTAATTCAATGGGCCAGTTTGTTTCATACTACTACATAAAGTAAACGGATACCTATACCAATTTTCTTTTTAAGGTGTGGTCGTCTTGGGTCGAAAGATTTACGTCGTGGGTGGCCTTAATGACGATGGTCTGCTGACCACCATGGAACGCTTTCACTTGAGGTCTCAAAAATGGAAAGAGCTGCCTGGCCTTCAAGAGTCCCGCTTCAGTATGGGCGTGGCTACTTGGGCAGGAAGTATTTTTGTATTTGGTGGACGGAGTGACCGCCAAAGTTTAAAGAGCATGGAAGTGTATTACCCTAAAGAAGAGAGATGGGTGTCTGCGCCTGCGCAGTTAAACGATGACAGGAGTGAGTTTGGTCACGTGGTATACAAAAACAAGATCTATTGTTTTGGTGGGCGCGGAGTAAACACGGTCGAGTGTTATGATTATTTGAATCAGCAGTGGCGCATTGTGGGTAGAGTCAGCGATAACACTTACTCTGTCAACTGTTTAGTTTATCCTCCCTTGAACTGAATTGAACGCGCCGAGAAAAACTGTAATTTTCCTTAGTGTAGACCGAGAAATTTTGCTTTCGCTTCAGTTAGTTCTATTTCCTTTTGCGTTTTTGAGAGCGTACGTTTTTGGTCAGGTGGCAAAGGATGTTCTACAAAACGAGGACATGAAGTATATTTCCAACTGGCTCCTAATTAATCTTTCCGTAGTTCAGATTTATCGGCTTTTGTCTCAACGATCATTAGATTTTTTATTATTACATAGCTAGCTCGCCGCGCGGACAACATGAAACAAATCCTGCACTACGATTGGCTGTTCTAGTGGGGAAGAAAGCTTGGGCAATATACAGCCATCTTGACTTCATGAATCGGTAAATACCCGAATTTCTCCTTGCAGTAGTGCGTGTGTTAAGATGAGAGTATGTAAGCACGGTTGTGATGTTTTAGATTCGCGCGTATTGCTTGATAAATGCCATATAAAAGCACTAGCGTACTTTTTCGTGTTGACATGGCCTCAGCTAAACACTTGGGGTTTGTGAGAATTCTCGAAAGTTGTTCAAACCTCCGCTACGTCCCGGGTTTGCATAACTGTCTTGAATTCTCCGACCCACCCCCGCCCTCCTCGTGCCCGGGCTATGTGCTCTGTTGCTTAAGGCATAGACCAGTTCCACGCGATGTTTATCTTTAATTTTCAATCATTTAATTCACTCTGCGTGCAAAGAGTCTTCATCAGTTAACTTCAAGAGTTGTATTCAGATATCGATTTACTGTTGGTAAACTTCTCTGATAACAATACATGCAGCTAAATATATATATCTTATAAACCCAGCACGAGGGCCGTACTGAGAGAATGTCGGTCCGAGGTCTTCACAGTACGGATCGTCGCTGCGCTCAGGTCGGTACAAAAAAAGACCGGGGGCCGACAGTCTCCCAGTACGGTCCCGAGCAAGCTTGGCTGATAAGAGAATCATTACAAGACTGAAACTACCCAAAAATCTTCAAGAGTGATCTTGCGGGATCATTTTCCGGACAGTGCCCTGTCAAATAATTAGAGAATAATAGACCAGCGTTGGAGCAATCTGATTAGTCGATTTTAGTTATTGGCCCTCTGAACTGACTCAGTCGTGTAATAAAGATCGCTATATACCGGCAGAGGGAAGTCTTGTCACCATCGCTGGTCTTTAAGTGGGTCCTCTATTTCCAGATTGAATATATAAACTCGTATGATTTTTCTATGATTTCTGACTTCCTTTTTAAAAGGGCAAAAATGAAGATTTTCATCTCAGTGTCTTCGGAATAGTAGGTGCACAACGGGATTTTACAGTCGTCACAAAACTGATAAGAAAATAACGAGTTCATATGGTTTTGGAAATTAAGCTGTCTTAAAATTAGGAGTTTGTATGGATTTTTAACCGTATTATATGATTACTTCATTGTTTCTGTTTCCTACATCTACCCAGCAAAGGGGTTGTTGCAATGTTGTTATCCATATAAATTTCCTTCTAGTGTGGCCAAGGAGCCAAATATCCTCGCTGGTACTGTTAGATCTGCCCCTCCCCTTGTATGGACGTGGCTTTAATATATTAAATTGCACAGCAGCAGGGTCTCATTAACCTTACTATATGACTAAGAAAATTACTTCATTGTGATTGGCTGAGAGCAGGCCAATTCATCGATATTTCTTAATTTGCACCGCAGTGCATATTAACGCGTGCGCATTCGCAATATAATTTTCATGATATTCGAAAATTATTTCAAAATGCACTCGCCTAAAGGTTCATGCAATTTTGGAAGAATTTTCAAATATCACTTGGGGTGAAAATCCTTAATTGCCCTCGCATTCATACGATTACCTATACATATTTCATGGTCTATAACCTGGTCTCTGTTTACCCTAAAAGCATCCTACTTGCTCAAATGACCAATCTCAACGTGCGCTTTTATGTTGTGGCATCAATTTATCGATTGGTTTAAATTTGAAATTCCCTGCGCAACTCCGAAATGGCCAACATATATTTATGAAGCGGTGGATGGCCGTGTCTGTTCCTTTGTTCTCAGATGGAAGACGGATAGTCTCGCTTCGTGACCACACACATGGGAGGGCTCAGGCTCGGCAAAAACCCTGTTGGCGTGGCTACAGCAAAACAACACATACAAGGGTTTCCTGAAGTCCTGCATATTCCAGCACAACAAGAATGGGTGCACTGCTGAGTTCAGTAAAATTAAAAGCACCGTGATGTTGTACGTATTGGAGCCGTAACTGACGGCGGGGGCGTAATATGCCAGTAAATAGGTCGTGTAATTCGGCAGACGGCAGACGGTGTGAACAAAAGTCACCAAAATCAACAATTTGGTGATGTTCCTCCGCGCACGCAGTCTGGCAGCCTGAGAGACCTCCGTCGCCCTCCGCTGACGATTCCACAACGTGTAAATAACTTGGGAGTACAGCACATACATAACAATGACCGAGCTCGAGCCCAAGAAGAACATACACATGACGTAGGCTTTGGGAGAGACCCAGCTTGGCCAACGTTCCACGCAAAAATCGCTCTTTTCGTCATAATCAAACACGATCAGCGTTGGTAAATTCGCCGCAAACGCGGAAATCCAACAAAACGCTATAACGCCCTTGATATGTGAAGACGTAATCGGCGCTCTTCGGTTTTGAATCATGATAGAGGTGTAGCGTTCCACAGCAATGGCGATCAGGAGGAAACCCGATGTTGTGGAGCTTGTCCACAGGATTCCACTCCCGGTAATGAACTTGCAGAAGTAGTCTCCTGTGGTGTCTGTCGGATGCCGAAATGCGGGCTTGCTGAAGATCACGTGACGAGGAAGTATAAACAAACCAGTCAGACCGTCTGATATTGCTAAGTTGAAAATCAAGTTGTTCATAGGTATTGTCAGTGATTTGCTCCGATAAAGAACCACACAGACCAACACGTTGAAAGTCAGGCACACTATTTCTAAAATTGTGAACAGAGAAATGAGTGCTAAATCAGCACTGTCACTCATTGTGGTAGATAACTTCTGTAGCTTCTTGGTGCTGGGAAGATAACGCTCTGTTGTTTTACCCTGCAGGAAACAAATTAAAATTTATAGTCATTTGTATAAACTTTTTGCACACACTATAATTCAATGTATGCTTTGAGACGTGTTTACAACACGAAATGGCGAAATCAAGAAATGGTACAACGGGTAAAAGTCAATGTGGGATAGGAGTGTCTATAAGTTTAACCCTTCCTATCTTTGAGAGCTAACCACGGTCGAGTCAGCGATATTTAGGCCAACCGGATCGCTATTTGGGCTAACCGTAGTGCCATTTCGCCATTTCGTCTTCAGTTTAAACACGCCCTATATTTAGTTGTCTTTAGTTCTTAGTTTTATGAAAACGAAAGAAACGCTTATTCTAAACACATTTCAGGATCGAGGATTTGACACTACTGATTCCTTCAAAATGACGTCTCTAAATATTAATACAATAATTGAACAAAGAACTCGATCGGTGATCGCAGCCAGACGCTTGTACGTGATTCTGCCAACATAGAGCGAAAGATTTGAAACCATGAACTTCGTATTAGATCAGCTGTGCTTTGCTGTCAGTCGATAGAGCAACCGTCAATTATCTAATCCAGAGGTCGTGAGTTTGATTCTCGCTGAGATCAAAAGATGTTCTACGTTTTGTGGATCTCATCAAATAGAAGATGAATCTCACTTTCATGCGTATTGCACTAAACACTCTACTCTAAGAGATGAATTTTAAAGAAAAATAGAAAATATCGTTCCGAATTTTAAACAATTTATCTCCGTTACAAGCTATCCGCGAACTTCTGACTTAAACAAATCATTATACTAATATTTAATTAGCAACATTCATTTCAACGTGTTTTGATCTTACGCAATATTCCTCTTTGAGTAATCAATCCGTTGTAACTTGATTGCTATATCATAACCTTATTATATGTTCACGATAATCATTACTGTTTAGTTTTAGTTTACAAAAGCTTTTGCAACACTGTATGTATTTATTGTCATGCTAGTTGTTGATGTTGCTCAGGAGCTAACGCTCAAGTCCGCAGGGTTGTTCAGAAGGTGGACACCGCTATCTATCAGATCAGTAAATCACTATCCAGGGTATAGCGTAGTTTGTTTTGCTAACACGTATCCTCTGGATAGCGATTCAACTGAGGCTAGAATGTTATTCATGAGTTTAATTCACCACTTTTTACTCACACCCACAGAGTTGATTCCATTTTGTATCTACCTTTCCGTTTAAGAAANTAGCCAATCTCAAAGGACACAAACAAGACAATGAACCAATCAACATTCGAAATAATTACATGTAGCTAACGCAAAGCGCGGGAAAACCTGTGCGAGCGAGTCGCGATTGGCTTTGGTTTTGCTTCTGATTGGATGAAAAAGTGGCGCGAGTTTTCCAAGCCAAAGGCGTAGCGTAATGACGCAAAACCAATTACTTTGCGACACTCCAATGAAAACCGCTCTGAGGTGCATTCTGAGTTAGTATAAATCTCAGAAGAAATAATAATGATAAAATATAAACCATAGCATGACAGTATATTTGTCATTTCAGGCCGTTCTGTACGTGAAGCTGGGGTTTGTTCTTATAAACACAACATTTATGTACTTGGTGGCAAACCTGATGCTATGGCTGCGCACAAGTTTGATGTGTGCCTCGGAATATGGAATTCCTTGCCGGAGATGATCAGGCCTCGACGATGTACCGGTAACATTGATTCATTTTCTGCCTCTATCTTTGCTTTAAAAACTTTTGAGGCCTTGTTTTATTTTTAAATGAAGTTTTTAGGCTGAAGTGTAAGTTTGTAGTCTAACCAACGGAACTCGCAAACCCACTCATATGCATATACATATTCACTTATTCCCCTTAAATTGTCCGGCCCCTCAGGTTTTTTTTAGCTTTTTCGTTCATTTATACTTTCGTTTGTTTGCCCGTTGGTTCGTTATTTCGTTCTACAGTTTGTTCGTTCGTTCGTTCGTTCGTTCTCTTGGTCGGTCGGTCGGTTGGTCGGCCGATCTGTCGTTCATTTGTTCGTTTACACGTTCGCGTGTGTGTTTGTAGTTTTGTTCGTAATTCAATGGGCCAGTTTGTTTCATACTACTACATAAAGTAAACGGATACCTATACCAATTTTCTTTTTAAGGTGTGGTCGTCTTGGGTCGAAAGATTTACGTCGTGGGTGGCCTTAATGACGATGGTCTGCTGACCACCATGGAACGCTTTCACTTGAGGTCTCAAAAATGGAAAGAGCTGCCTGGCCTTCAAGAGTCCCGCTTCAGTATGGGCGTGGCTACTTGGGCAGGAAGTATTTTTGTATTTGGTGGACGGAGTGACCGCCAAAGTTTAAAGAGCATGGAAGTGTATTACCCTAAAGAAGAGAGATGGGTGTCTGCGCCTGCGCAGTTAAACGATGACAGGAGTGAGTTTGGTCACGTGGTATACAAAAACAAGATCTATTGTTTTGGTGGGCGCGGAGTAAACACGGTCGAGTGTTATGATTATTTGAATCAGCAGTGGCGCATTGTGGGTAGAGTCAGCGATAACACTTACTCTGTCAACTGTTTAGTTTATCCTCCCTTGAACTGAATTGAACGCGCCGAGAAAAACTGTAATTTTCCTTAGTGTAGACCGAGAAATTTTGCTTTCGCTTCAGTTAGTTCTATTTCCTTTTGCGTTTTTGAGAGCGTACGTTTTTGGTCAGGTGGCAAAGGATGTTCTACAAAACGAGGACATGAAGTATATTTCCAACTGGCTCCTAATTAATCTTTCCGTAGTTCAGATTTATCGGCTTTTGTCTCAACGATCATTAGATTTTTTATTATTACATAGCTAGCTCGCCGCGCGGACAACATGAAACAAATCCTGCACTACGATTGGCTGTTCTAGTGGGGAAGAAAGCTTGGGCAATATACAGCCATCTTGACTTCATGAATCGGTAAATACCCGAATTTCTCCTTGCAGTAGTGCGTGTGTTAAGATGAGAGTATGTAAGCACGGTTGTGATGTTTTAGATTCGCGCGTATTGCTTGATAAATGCCATATAAAAGCACTAGCGTACTTTTTCGTGTTGACATGGCCTCAGCTAAACACTTGGGGTTTGTGAGAATTCTCGAAAGTTGTTCAAACCTCCGCTACGTCCCGGGTTTGCATAACTGTCTTGAATTCTCCGACCCACCCCCGCCCTCCTCGTGCCCGGGCTATGTGCTCTGTTGCTTAAGGCATAGACCAGTTCCACGCGATGTTTATCTTTAATTTTCAATCATTTAATTTACTCTGCGTGCAAAGAGTCTTCATCAGTTAACTTCAAGAGTTGTATTCAGATATCGATTTACTGTTGGTAAACTTCTCTGATAACAATACATGCAGCTAAATATATATATCTTATAAACCCAGCACGAGGGCCGTACTGAGAGAATGTCGGTCCGAGGTCTTCACAGTACGGATCGTCGCTGCGCTCAGGTCGGTACAAAAAAAGACCGGGGGCCGACAGTCTCCCAGTACGGTCCCGAGCAAGCTTGGCTGATAAGAGAATCATTACAAGACTGAAACTACCCAAAAATCTTCAAGAGTGATCTTGCGGGATCATTTTCCGGACAGTGCCCTGTCAAATAATTAGAGAATAATAGACCAGCGTTGGAGCAATCTGATTAGTCGATTTTAGTTATTGGCCCTCTGAACTGACTCAGTCGTGTAATAAAGATCGCTATATACCGGCAGAGGGAAGTCTTGTCACCATCGCTGGTCTTTAAGTGGGTCCTCTATTTCCAGATTGAATATATAAACTCGTATGATTTTTCTATGATTTCTGACTTCCTTTTTAAAAGGGCAAAAATGAAGATTTTCATCTCAGTGTCTTCGGAATAGTAGGTGCACAACGGGATTTTACAGTCGTCACAAAACTGATAAGAAAATAACGAGTTCATATGGTTTTGGAAATTAAGCTGTCTTAAAATTAGGAGTTTGTATGGATTTTTAACCGTATTATATGATTACTTCATTGTTTCTGTTTCCTACATCTACCCAGCAAAGGGGTTGTTGCAATGTTGTTATCCATATAAATTTCCTTCTAGTGTGGCCAAGGAGCCAAATATCCTCGCTGGTACTGTTAGATCTGCCCCTCCCCTTGTATGGACGTGGCTTTAATATATTAAATTGCACAGCAGCAGGGTCTCATTAACCTTACTATATGACTAAGAAAATTACTTCATTGTGATTGGCTGAGAGCAGGCCAATTCATCGATATTTCTTAATTTGCACCGCAGTGCATATTAACGCGTGCGCATTCGCAATATAATTTTCATGATATTCGAAAATTATTTCAAAATGCACTCGCCTAAAGGTTCATGCAATTTTGGAAGAATTTTCAAATATCACTTGGGGTGAAAATCCTTAATTGCCCTCGCATTCATACGATTACCTATACATATTTCATGGTCTATAACCTGGTCTCTGTTTACCCTAAAAGCATCCTACTTGCTCAAATGACCAATCTCAACGTGCGCTTTTATGTTGTGGCATCAATTTATCGATTGGTTTAAATTTGAAATTCCCTGCGCAACTCCGAAATGGCCAACATATATTTATGAAGCGGTGGATGGCCGTGTCTGTTCCTTTGTTCTCAGATGGAAGACGGATAGTCTCGCTTCGTGACCACACACATGGGAGGGCTCAGGCTCGGCAAAAACCCTGTTGGCGTGGCTACAGCAAAACAACACATACAAGGGTTTCCTGAAGTCCTGCATATTCCAGCACAACAAGAATGGGTGCACTGCTGAGTTCAGTAAAATTAAAAGCACCGTGATGTTGTACGTATTGGAGCCGTAACTGACGGCGGGGGCGTAATATGCCAGTAAATAGGTCGTGTAATTCGGCAGACGGCAGACGGTGTGAACAAAAGTCACCAAAATCAACAATTTGGTGATGTTCCTCCGCGCACGCAGTCTGGCAGCCTGAGAGACCTCCGTCGCCCTCCGCTGACGATTCCACAACGTGTAAATAACTTGGGAGTACAGCACATACATAACAATGACCGAGCTCGAGCCCAAGAAGAACATACACATGACGTAGGCTTTGGGAGAGACCCAGCTTGGCCAACGTTCCACGCAAAAATCGCTCTTTTCGTCATAATCAAACACGATCAGCGTTGGTAAATTCGCCGCAAACGCGGAAATCCAACAAAACGCTATAACGCCCTTGATATGTGAAGACGTAATCGGCGCTCTTCGGTTTTGAATCATGATAGAGGTGTAGCGTTCCACAGCAATGGCGATCAGGAGGAAACCCGATGTTGTGGAGCTTGTCCACAGGATTCCACTCCCGGTAATGAACTTGCAGAAGTAGTCTCCTGTGGTGTCTGTCGGATGCCGAAATGCGGGCTTGCTGAAGATCACGTGACGAGGAAGTATAAACAAACCAGTCAGACCGTCTGATATTGCTAAGTTGAAAATCAAGTTGTTCATAGGTATTGTCAGTGATTTGCTCCGATAAAGAACCACACAGACCAACACGTTGAAAGTCAGGCACACTATTTCTAAAATTGTGAACAGAGAAATGAGTGCTAAATCAGCACTGTCACTCATTGTGGTAGATAACTTCTGTAGCTTCTTGGTGCTGGGAAGATAACGCTCTGTTGTTTTACCCTGCAGGAAACAAATTAAAATTTATAGTCATTTGTATAAACTTTTTGCACACACTATAATTCAATGTATGCTTTGAGACGTGTTTACAACACGAAATGGCGAAATCAAGAAATGGTACAACGGGTAAAAGTCAATGTGGGATAGGAGTGTCTATAAGTTTAACCCTTCCTATCTTTGAGAGCTAACCACGGTCGAGTCAGCGATATTTAGGCCAACCGGATCGCTATTTGGGCTAACCGTAGTGCCATTTCGCCATTTCGTCTTCAGTTTAAACACGCCCTATATTTAGTTGTCTTTAGTTCTTAGTTTTATGAAAACGAAAGAAACGCTTATTCTAAACACATTTCAGGATCGAGGATTTGACACTACTGATTCCTTCAAAATGACGTCTCTAAATATTAATACAATAATTGAACAAAGAACTCGATCGGTGATCGCAGCCAGACGCTTGTACGTGATTCTGCCAACATAGAGCGAAAGATTTGAAACCATGAACTTCGTATTAGATCAGCTGTGCTTTGCTGTCAGTCGATAGAGCAACCGTCAATTATCTAATCCAGAGGTCGTGAGTTTGATTCTCGCTGAGATCAAAAGATGTTCTACGTTTTGTGGATCTCATCAAATAGAAGATGAATCTCACTTTCATGCGTATTGCACTAAACACTCTACTCTAAGAGATGAATTTTAAAGAAAAATAGAAAATATCGTTCCGAATTTTAAACAATTTATCTCCGTTACAAGCTATCCGCGAACTTCTGACTTAAACAAATCATTATACTAATATTTAATTAGCAACATTCATTTCAACGTGTTTTGATCTTACGCAATATTCCTCTTTGAGTAATCAATCCGTTGTAACTTGATTGCTATATCATAACCTTATTATATGTTCACGATAATCATTACTGTTTAGTTTTAGTTTACAAAAGCTTTTGCAACACTGTATGTATTTATTGTCATGCTAGTTGTTGATGTTGCTCAGGAGCTAACGCTCAAGTCCGCAGGGTTGTTCAGAAGGTGGACACCGCTATCTATCAGATCAGTAAATCACTATCCAGGGTATAGCGTAGTTTGTTTTGCTAACACGTATCCTCTGGATAGCGATTCAACTGAGGCTAGAATGTTATTCATGAGTTTAATTCACCACTTTTTACTCACACCCACAGAGTTGATTCCATTTTGTATCTACCTTTCCGTTTAAGAAATATACCTCTATAATATTGACAGATGACGTGATTACCGGGAAAACCAGAATTCGTGAAATTAATTTTTATCCGTACGAACACTAAGCTCTACTCCTTGAAAATTTTCGTGTCGTACCATTTTTCACCATATTATTATTTTTTACCATATTATGCGCAAATTGGGTGGCCTTGAAATTTGGAGAACAAATTATTTCTTCAAGGGGTTGCAGAAAGGAACCAAAGAATAGTGGGCATAACAAATTCAGGAAATGTTACAAAGCCGGCATAATCGGTTGATTAATTAAATTTTCTTCGAAATTATATTTCTGGATATTCCTCAGTTATATATTAAGTTACGTATGTCTTGAATTAATGAACTATTTTTTTTCGGGGGCTGGGGGGGGGGGGAGGAGAAGAAATTTTTTAAATGAAAATATTGCTGCAAATGATTTTTTTTTTTCGTTTTTGCTCAAGTCACCCTTAAGGCTTAAAAGGTATACGGAAATATTGACCAAACTATTGACACAGACGTGTTTCTAAGTCAATCGGTTTTAGTCTTGTTTATTAAAATGTTTCCTAGAGTCGCACGAAAGTTTGTGGTATTTATTATACTGTCAGAAAAATTCAATTTATTCAAATTCCCTTCTCGATCTCGTGAAAGGAATGCTGAAGTTTGCGTCCTATTTACCGGTGGTAATTGTCTGTACCGAACATAATAAAACTTTATACAATTGTTTTGAATGAATGTTTAATGAAAAAAAAAATACTATTTACTTTTGACAAGAAATGGCACAAGACATTTCTAATGAGATGTCGGCTGAAAGAACTGACAGTTTTTCTGCAGTTTCATATTTATTACTAATATAAAAAACAAATTTTTCTCCTTCGTAATTTTCTTCAATGTCTGAACATTTGACATTGATCATACGTATCAATATAATTGGTCTTATGTCCAAATTGAGCTGGGCTTGTTGCTAATGTTTTTTCGACAATTTTTTTGCGCATAATTCTTGAATTTTCTTATTTATTTAAGACTCCGGTAAAAGCGACCATTATTTAACGTCTTCTCAGTCATTGAATAAATAAATCATTTTTGCAGAAATTTAAAGCTTAAAACAATCATCTCTTTGGAAACTGCGAGGATGATTGCAAACATAAACAAACTCGACGAAAATTTTCTTCCGATGTGAGTGGTCCATCTGCGAGACGAATCGAGAAAAAAAATGTTCGTATTTTTGGGACAATTTCATGTCGATTCTAGCCAATTTTCATTAATGGCCATCTTCCGCCGAGATAGAGGAAAATGTCGATTAAATGATAGTAGAATTCCGTTCCCTCTTGAAGCAATGTAAAATAAAGAAACACGTAAAAGGGATTAAATAAATCTAGGCTTTAGCTCGGCGCAAAAACACGATCCCTTTCAAAATTGCGGCAACTTTGATCACCAAGTTAAACACATATACACCTCTGACCTTCGAAGTATTATTTTCAAAGTTCTGCTTTTTCAAACGTAAATTCTAGAGCGCTTACAGAATCGTTGATAAACTGCACACAGTAGAAATTTCTAAAACAGAACGTCAACCAAATCAAGTAACTTATCCAAACAACCTTACATATGGTAATCTTTTGCTTCACGGTGGCTTGAAAATGAGACAGATATTTTAATTTCACTGTGTTAAAAATGCGAAAACACAAATCTTACTTTCAATTATCCGACTTAGCTAAAGACAGTGCTTATGAACTAAGCTTTGCTGTAAGGTTTTATGAAGCAATTTACTAATAAGATGCTGAACAATAGGGCTTGCCTTCAGTTAAAGATTGCCAGAGCAGGTGAAAAATGGACAGTCAAGAAAGCGACAGGTTCAAATTTCATTCCTGGTTTTCCCAAAAAGCAACTTGTAACCTTCACGTTAAGATACCGAATGATAAACAGTTCGAAGGTAACTACACTTTATATAATTGAAAACGAGACTTTCTTCATAAGCTGCATGTTTTTTCCCTATTCAAAAATATTAGACTGAGCTAAAATACAAACAAAGTGCTTTTAGCGCCTTTTGCGCCTAACAAACAACGAAATCGCAATACCAGAGTAATTCTGTCTGTGAGAAAAATCTGGCTTCGTAAATGTATGACCAGCTTCGCCCCTTTCAGTACAAAATGTCCAAGCAAGGAAAAATCATCACACTTACCTTAAAAACGGTGAACTCTTTTAGATGGAAGCTTTAGATGAATACGTTCAAGCAGCACTCGCCAAAAATGGCACGCAAGAACATACAACGACAGATGGATACAATATTTGATCGACAGATTGTCAAACGATATAAAGAACCTCGCAGTATGACAACAGAAAGACGCCCAACCTCAATATCACAGATCTGATTAGCATTTATCACTCCGGCAGCTTATGGTAGCTCTATGAAAAATCGACGAAACCCTGTTAAAATCATAACAGCTTTTTTTACAAATACATACAATTGCTTGTTTGGCCTAAGCAATTCTCGTATCTTATTCAATTCGGCGGGTGGGTTCTTCATACAAAGTGTTTTGCTATATATTTTATGCCGAAAATTGGGATCGGTAATCAATGCTAACGACTTGTCCGAGCTCCCATTGTTATAAGCTAAGACTATTAAATTTACATAAAATAATTCTCAGCACGTTCCCTAACCGAGGTAACGCATATGTTCTGCTCGCGCGCACTGAGATGAAATCCGAAAACTCCCCTTGATGACGTAGCTCGACAGTTAATTCTGATTGGTTATCGGCTCTTGGTACAGCCAATCGGAGGCCAAAGAGTTAGATCATACATGCATTGAGTTGTGCATGCCAATCGAATTCAGACTTGCGCATAGTGGATGGAAGAAAAGTGTGGACAAATACACCTGTTTAGACTGTTCAACTGATCGAGATGAACTTAGCTTTTGAAGTTTTTGAACAGCTTACATGTAGAAACTCGGAGAAGTTTCTAGTATTCTTGCTGTACGTAATTCTAACTCGCTTAGTTCTTATATAAGATTATCTCTTTTTGATTTCGTATTTGTATCTTTTGACTTCGTGCTTTATTTTAACAATTTTAGATGATTAGTTTTTTTTTAAAGAAATATATGACTGAATTGAGGAAGTTACTTCAATGGGATTGGCTGAGAGCAGGTCGATTTATAGTTAATTCTTGATTTGCACTGCAATGCAAATTAACGCGCGTAGTTTTCTCAGTCATATAGCAAATGAGAAATCTTATGTAAGCTTAAGATATACAGCTACTTGTCAGTTTTGAAAATTCTTTCAAGTTGCACTCGCCTACTTTATTAAGGATCGCTCAATTTTGAGAGAATTTTGAAATATTCCTGGCAGTGTAAATCCTACAGTGCACTCGCAAGGTTTATTTTAATTGAAGTATGTGATGGAACACGTTTTTCACAGTAATGACATCGAGTTGACACCTAGCTATCCTGTACGTGTTGTGACTAACACTAGTTACCCATTTACCTACCCATTGCGTGTCTTTCTTGTGACATGGGACACTTCTTAAAACTTAAAATTATTTGACGCACTCCATTTCAAAAGCATTTTTCCGGGTATTTGCTGGGTTTTCGCTTCCGCTAGGGCTGTTTCATTGCTTTTCATCACGTACCAAGAGTCTCGAGGTTTTCTTTTAACATGTAAAAGTGCGTCGAGATTTCTTCATTTCAACGGATTTAATTACGGTTGTGTTAATAGTAGTCCCTTGCTCCGACACTGTTGTATTCAATCATTTATCGCCTGAATGCAGAGAAAGGAAATTTCCAGAACAAAAATTCCCGCCTTCTGTGATGGTGGTGTTCACGGCTCTATTCACACATGTTCGATTTTGTGTTGACATAAGAATTATGACCGGTTAGTCGTGTAGATATGATGTAGAGTATATAATCCCTGGAGTGAGAAATACATGGAGTGATAAATATATATTTGTCAGTAGCTCTTCCTGCTAGTAGCTCTTCCTGCAGCCGTCCGCTTTACAATGGGAAGACAAATGGGAGTGGACATCACGAATTTGGAAGTTTGTACATGTAAAGACACTGTTGATCACTGATGCAGACAGATTTCCACGATTTCGAAAATGTCCGTTGAATTGGATGACCGGGGTAAAGTGTAAATGCGATGAGAGACATTATTTTTTTTTGAAAATTTTTTCAGTGGGTTTCGTTTCAGCATTATGATAAATGTGTAGGAAAATTGTAAATTAATTCTGTCAGCAAATCCTTGCAAGCACGTCCGCCAGAAATTAAACAAGCTGCTTTTCGATCATGTTTGCGCCTCTTCAAAATCGCAAAAATCTGGCTGCGAACTCCGTTTCTAGAAAAGGTCACCAAGTTTAATTATAAAATCTTAAGGAAATTTAACTTACTCACCGCCAAATTCAAATTTAGGCTGCGTCTACGGCCAGAAAAACCAAAAATAGCAGTTATTTCAATTGTAGCGCGAAATAATGTTTTAAACTCAAACCAAACGCGTTTTAAACAGGCTTAAAAGACTTTATCCTTATCATCTTATTTCGGGTCGAGAAAAAAAAAAAAAAGAAAAACTGTGTTTTTTAGCATCTGGTTCTTTCATATAATTATTTGGTAATAATAATTTCCGCAAATAGAACGGAAGGACATAGATCTTCATCAGCAATTAAGAAAATAGTGAACAATTTCGGGACCGTATTGCAAAAATTAATCTCTCGCGTATATAAGCAAGGTGCAGTGAATTTGCGAAAATCGAACAGTTTAAGAAACTTGTCATGCCTCAATCAAAATTTGAATTTAAATTTAAGTCACTAGAATGCTTTGCTCAATACTCAGTTTTGAGCAAAGCTGCGGGAACCCACTGGATAAAATTAAATGAATGCCATCCTTTTATTAGAAGTTTTGGCATTACTAAAAGAACAAACTATCATGGTTGTTTTTTTAGCAGTATAGCTTTATTAAGCGTCGTCTCTTATGGCTATACAGTCGTTCCCGAATCAGATTGAATCGGGTCTTTCTCATACGTTGTCAACTTAATGTGCACCCCAAGACTACTTAGCGTGACATTTTCTGTCAGTTGTTTATTATTTCCTTTGACCACAAAAATCCATCCGTTCCTAGGCGATATTTGCACTAGGCAGGGTAAATAACTGTGTCGATAAGATGTTTTCACAAAACTCATTCAAATGAATAATATTTATCTTTCCGAACAACTAAAACCGTAATGACTAGCTTAATTTACATCGGTTTCTCGTTGGCGGGCCATACGCATTTGAGATACTGATCTTAGCGCCAACATGTACAAATATTTAGCCGTATTTCGCCGTCTGCTTACAAAGCAACAAAGGTGAATATTAATAAAATTTCTCTTTTTTTCTTGGCTCTGAAATGCGGACACACGCGTGTTTAAATAAATAAATATATATTTATATAGCGCCATTTTCCACTAATTGTCCATGGCGCTTTACAATACTTTAAAATTAAAATCCTAAGTTTAAAATCCTAAAATTAAAATCCTAATCCTTTAAAAACAAACTTCATTGTAAGAGTCATGAAAGTGGTTCGAGCAATCCGTTCAAAACTATGTACATTCTTAGGTTAAAAATTCCCTTTCTGTAATCCAGTATTTCAGGCGTGAATTACAATTTCTCCTCACAGATTGTTATACATTTCTTCGAATGCTTGTAATGAGAGTACAGTGGTGTATCAATTGCAAGAAGATGAAAAACTGCCCGCCGAGGCAGACAAGCTGACCGGCAAAATACTGGGCTAGCCCATGTCAAACTAGCATGAAATTCCAGCGAGAGAACCACTAAACTTTTAGTATTTTAATGCTACAGAAACCAGAATTACTAGTGGTGATGGTGGAACAACAAACCTCGAAAGGGGTGCCGAATACCATGTGTCTCGCAAAATTTTCGTCGAATTTCACGGGTCTCGTAGTCTCGATTTTTTCACAAAGCGGTTTCGCAGTCTCGAGTTTTTTTCATCAAGGCTAAAGTTCCAATTTGTTTGCTTTTTTGCTATAAGCTTGAATGAAGTCTGAACGACTTAGAACCTGAACGTCTTGAGCTCGCATTTAAAATACTTTGAAGTCTCGGTCTCGCAATTGAAGGAGTTAAAATGTCTTGGGTTCGCAAAGAAAAATGCTTGTCTCGCCTTTTCTCACAGTCTCGCATTTACTAGTCACCACCCCTCTCGAAAAATACATTTTGCTTGTTAATTAACACTTCCTGTTTAAATCCTATTTGTGAAAATTTGCTAAAATGTCAGGAAATTGTCTGTTTGTTGATGAGTCTTTTGTTCCGCTTGCCCGCCTACTCGCAATTGGCAAGTAGATATTAGTTTGTGAGGAACAAATATCATTTACGTATGTTGGTTATTACGACTAGCGAATGTTACTCTCGACAGCTTCTTCAAAGCCTCTCCAAACATTGAGCTCAAACGGTCACGTTCGTTTGTTTTTCTGGTTTTGTCTCGCGGTTTTGTCATTGTACTTTTTGGAAGATTTTCAGAGCCATTTGGTAATAAACGTTGCCTGAGTCCTTGCGTAAGATGCTGGTGAAGTGTCCTCCATTTCCACGTGGGGCACCACCATGTTTTCCGTCTTTTTGCAGGGGACCAACTTCCAAAACTCTATACGAAACGAACGATTCATGTAGCCATATATGAAGGGGTTACAAGCGGAGTTTAGAACCACCAGATACGACACAACAAGTGTACCTTCAGGTGAAATGTGGAGTAGATTTCCACGGCTTAGAAATCCGATCACATAAGCTGGAATCCAGCAAATAGCGTAGGTTGAAACAAGCAGAAATAAAGTTTTAGTGACTCGAATTTCCTCCACGCTCGCTCCGTTTGTAAGACATTGCGCGTGAGGATTCGCAGCTCTTTGAAGTGTAGATACACATTGAATGTTATGCTGACGTACGGCCCGCGAAACTTTAAAGTAACATACGATTATCGTGGCTGTGCAAGGGATTAAAATAAGACCTGTGTCAAGAGATAGAAATATCATCGTAAAGTTTGGTTTGTGGAACTTTAAAACGCACGCCGCGTAACCGCTATGAAACGCGAACTCCGCCCAGCCAACGAACACGGGAAACGCGACAATCATTGCCATTAGCGTCCACAACGTTATCAGAAAAGCGATCGAGCGTTTTCTTGTAAAAATCTTCAAATAAAGCGACGGTTTTACGACCCTACAGAATCTATTCACCGCCATAAAAGCCATGGTTAGCAGAGAGACGAGCGATAAAACATACGTGAAAAATCCCTGGATAACACAACCGGCTGACCCATAACGCCAATGTCCTGAAATAAGAGCTGATATTGTCAGCGGACCGGCGATACATGAACGAGCCAAGTCTGCCACAGCTAAAGCTGTTACCCACAAATTCGTAGTCGTTCTGAGGCTGGGATTTCGCGCCGTTGCCAGACAAATGAAAGCGTTTCCTCCGATAGCTGTGATGTCAATAAGCAGCAGTGAAGTGGATTGCAACACTACCAGTTCAGCGCTTCGCGTAGGAAGCTCCATAGTTCTGTGAAAAACCGGGAAAAACCTTCAGTTGCGCGGTATTGAAACAGGTGGATTTCAAGAGACCGCAAAATTGGAAGCCAGAAAATTGCACGAGATATAGTTTCCTTTTCTTGGCTGACCGTCGCGGAAAAAAATTGAGTAAGGTCTTTCAGTGATCGACGGAGTTGTAATAAAACTGCGAGATGTCTCGATTGCCAAAAATGGTTAATCACCAGCACAACCAGAAATGAATTGTGCAGCTGACCTAATTGGCTTGTGTACCCAGTGAAAATATGAAATGCTACCCAATGACTTAGCGCTAGCTTGGTTTACTAGTAACACGTAAAAATGAGAAGATCTGTAGCCGGCGACTGATGGAATATTCTTAGAATTTCCAATTTCATTTAGCTGTCATTTGAGTTGTATCCCCTGTAAATGGAAAAAAATTAATATAGCCTCGATGGATCTTTTACGCCTCAATTCGTGAAAATACAGAGCGATAAGAACATGCGGTTTTTTTTTTCTGTCAATCAACTCGGGCTAGCGTGGTTGTCTCTTGTTTGTCAAACATAGAGCTTTGTTATTAATATTTATAATTATTTCAATTCGATTACGGTATCTCTCCATTTAAACACTTTAATACTCTTCAGTTGAAAAAATCGCAGATAGCGATAAAGAGCGAAAAGAAATAGCGGTCTTTTATAACATATCAACGATCGTTTCTCCAAATACAGAGAGGAAAAGAAATGCATTGGGTTTAAATTTAATTTGCAATGTCATAGTTATTTGACAGGTTTAGTTCTGACATATGTTCCGATTGCACAAACCCTAAGCAACTCCCCAGTGTTAAATAGCAACTGCTAAAAGAGGAAATTGGGTTTTAGAAGTTAGATTGGGTAGATGATCTGTCTGAAGCCCAGTGACAGCTTTTGGAAATCAGAAAAATTCAGAAAAAGATTGCTTGTCAAATATATATATAACCTCTTAAATTAAAATAAGCCACGTGTTTATAATGCTAGGCGATGTCAAACTAGACAAGTTCAATATCAGTTTTCTAGAATCTATAAACCTAAGATAAACTTCCTGCTCTCGTCTTTTATGTTTTATATCTGCAAGTAATTCCTCTGACAACTTACTTCGTCGAGCCAAGCGAAACCAAAAAGCGAGAGAGGATGTTATTAATACGTTTCTTTCCTTTTTCCTCTTCTTGCCCATCAAAACTATCTATTAATGCATATGATCGTTGCTTGCGAAAAACGCTTCATTTTGTTTCACCGAAACGTTTTGTTGTTAATTGCAAGTTGCATTGCAAAACATGAAATTGAACGATATTTAACTGGACTGGCTCACTCCAGTCAGTCAAAGAACAACAGGTCACGTTCAGGACGTGTAAAGACTGTAAACTTCAGGGTAACAGTAGAAAAGAAACTTCACCGCTGATGTTGCGATTTCATGACGAATGACAAAGGGACCAAATATAGACACAATTAAGCAATTGGAGTCAGGTTTCCTCGGTCGCTTTTTATTTCACGCGAGAGACAAACCTCTTGCATCTCGATAAAGAGGAATTTACGCAACGTAACTTAACGCTGTATGGTCAAATACGGTTGCAATGAAACTCCTTACAGTCACAGAAATTTTCCTCTCCTAACCGTGACCGTGTTACGAAGATCAACAATACTGTTCGCCTCGCATTAATTTCCATGTGTTTTTATATTCCCTTTCCCATCCCCTGAAAATCAACTAACGGGTAAATTTGAATGGTTTTCAACATTACAAGGACATTAAGTGGTGTTAAATTATATGAATATTAACGCGTCATTTTAATATTCTGCTGTCGTTTAAATCATTTTGACGAAGGTTGTTGATCAGTTTTAAACGAGTGATTCTATACTTTTGAAAAAAAAAAATAATAAAAAAATAAAACTAGAGTTGAACACGTTTGTCTTGACAAGTGTCCTTGACAATTGTAATTTTATTTGCAATAATAGCAGTACAGCTGTGTCCTACATAACACTCGGAAATCCATTTGTGTATATTAAAGTGCTGAAAGAATAATTTAAAACTCCCGGAGTTACAGTGCCCAATGAACTCTTCTTTGAAATTGTGCAAGTAATAAATTTATTTCACCTTTTAGACAAAAATTGAGCCCGTTTTAAGGCCTTAAGATCTGGTTTCCATATAGACCAGAAATTGAAATCTACGTGCATACCTTGTCGAAAATTTCGCGACAATGTAGTTTACCAAGAGTAGATAAAGAGTAAGAGAGTTCATCGCCCATACGGGCCTTATTTTCCCTCTAACCCCTCTAAAGTTGTTTTTAGATACGGCACCCAGTTCCTCCGTGGATAATTCTACCACGCGCGTTGCGTGGAAGTTTCGTCGACGATAAAAATGCGTGTAAAGCCACGCGCAAACTTCGCGCCACAGGATTGGCTGTTTTTAGTCCTTCCTGGGATGTGCGAAACCGGAAGTGATCTAAAAATGCCTTGAGAGAGATAGCCTTGGGAATAAGGTCTACATGGGGGACCCCTCTTACCATTTATCCCCTCTTGAACGATTTGTTCATACCATTTTACGCTAAAATTTTATATTTACTTCAGTGACGTAACTGACCTGAGATTTAACAATAAACACTTAATGACTGACCCCAAGGGAAACAGTGAGTTGTGTTTCCCCGAGACCCTCAATGTCGCCGAGGGGAACATTGAGGGTTGAGGGAAAACAAAACTCACTGTTTCCCGCGGGCCAGTCAAAATAAGTGTTTTGTTATGTCTCTCAACACAAAAATAGAAAAAAAAAAAACCCTGCGGGGCCGGGTTGTTCAAATCCCGATTAAGCTAACCCAGGATTAGCGAGAATTTTGATTTGAGTTTTGCAACTTGCCGGTGCTGTTTTCTGTTTATATTGTTTGCCCTTCAGTTTTGAGTTTAAATAATATCAAACTCCACAAAATATAAGAAGTGAAAAACATTTTTATGTAAGAAAAAATTAATACTTCGGTTAACTTTTAATCCTGGTTTAGCGCTAACCTGCTTTCGAACAACCGGGCCCAGAGTTTTGATCCACGACACATGACACGTTCTCTTCCAATCGGAAAATAACAATTATTTTTGAAACATTCAGTCAGTATTCATGGCGAGTTTTTAGTGCTCCATACATTTGTCCGTATGAAAAAATCCCTCAAAGTCCGCCGCGAAAAGATTAAATACAAATGCATGGAAACAACATGCAATTAAAAGTTGGTATAAATACTGCGAAATTATCATTTTGAAAAATAAAATCTCGTTCCACAGAATATATAAATTCTAAAATGAACGAACAGGACAATCTAAA